TATAAAAAATGATTCTTATATCATTATTGTTTTAAGTGAAATGATTTATACCACATCATTATTTTTATTTATCTTTATATATTCCTCATAATTAATGATTTAATACTCTATTGTGGTCTCCTTTTGTTTGAAAGGTGAAAATATAGAATTAGAATCTTGATGGTATGTAAAATTGATTATATTTTTCACATAGAGTACAAATTAAAAATGAATAGTGATATAGAGAATATTTTTTATATAATTTTTTTATATAACTTTTATATATCATTAAAATGATTAAATGTAATTAATATTATAAATTTTAAGTAAATAAAAAAATTAATTATTTAAATAATATATAAAATTATATTATAAATAATAAAAAAGTTATCCGTAAATTATTTTTTTTATTAAAAATAATCTTTATTTATTATTTTTTTTCCAAGATAAAGGTGAAATCTTTGAAAATCCCTCCTGTTTTGTCGCCTTGCCTCTGCCCGTCAGAGAATTTTCCTAGCATTTTCTTGTGTCCACACTTGAGATCATTCTCGAAGGCCGAGACAACTAGGAAATTTCGCCATGGAAAGAAACATAACATTAAAAACTCTCGTGGGTCGTGGCCCGTATGAATCCTCTGGTCCCCATGTCCCCACCTCACATGATCTGATCAATGGCAATGGACTTATGGACGGAAAGAAAAAGTTATAAATAAAAAATGTTAATTTTGTATTTTTTATTTAAAAATATTAATTTTTTAATTTTTAAATAAAAAATAAAAAATTAACATATTTATATAAAAATTAACAGTATTAATATTTTTAAATAAAAAATATAAAATTGATATATTTATTTCTACATTTCTTTGGGTTATTGAGTTTATTTCCTAATTAATATTTAAAAATTTTATTTATAATACAATGTAATAATATAAATTTATAATATAATATATTATTATATAATTAATTTTTTATTTAAAAATTTATTTATAATATTATATATTAATATTTTAATATTATATATTTTTACAATTTGAAAAATGAGGGATTTTCTAAGGCATTGATAAACATAAAAATTTTTGATCAATAAATTCAAATATTTTAAAATTTAAAACGAATAACTAGAATCGAAAATTTGATTTAATATTTTAATATTATATTTATTTAATATTAGATTATAATTATTAATTTATAAGTTTACTTAATATTATATAATATTACATTACATGAAACATTACATACCCATTATAAAAACTTTTCTTTCTACCTGTGACATTTTTACCTTTCTACTTCTCTCTCTTTCCCCCTTTTCTCTCCCTCCTCTCTTACTTCTGCCTCTCTTCTCCAGCACTGCGTTGTTTTTGCCCAGAAGCCTTTGAGCTTCTGGAGTTTTGATGCTTGAGTCGCCGGGCTTCCCGACCGTTCAAGCATGTTGGAGCCGCCCTATGCTCCCTCCTCCGACGACCCTTTCGGGTCTGTCGGCTTTTGGGTCCCCTTTGGTGACCCCTTTGGTTTTCTTGTTTTTTCTTGTTGTTTTGTTGTTTCTTTATGTTCTTGTATAGTTTGTTTTTCAAATCTGGCGACCCTCGACCTTATCTTGTAGATCTTGTTAGGTGCTCGCTGTTTTTTGGTTGGCTTGCAGATTCGGCGATGGTCCCCTCCATTTGGCAACTTCTATCGGTGGCGGTGAACGTGGGAGATCCCAGATCTGGCAACCTTGCGACCCACCTGCTGCCTCCAGGGATCGGCCTTCGCCTGATCGAGTCACCGCATTGGCATCCTAGAGCCTGGCACACCTTCCACATGGGTAGATTGAAAGGTGTCTCGTTTAGATCGCTCGACCGAAGGGCGCTGTATAACCGCGCCATTAGTGGTTGTTCGAGTGTCATGTACCCCTCCGTTTGACCTCTGGAAATAGGTCTACTCTGATTTCTTGCTCCTGTTATAATTTTACTATTTATTATTCTTGTAGATGTCGTATGACGGTGTTTGAAATAAACCAATTTCATTATGTTCAAAAAAAAAAAAAAAACTTTTCTTTCTCGTGATTTGTGAACTACTTTGTCTGGCATGGGATCCACCCTTACAGATCACGTGTCCTTTTTAATTTTCCAACGAAATTATTGTCTGATAATATTATAATGATACTATCATTTAAAATTATAAATTTATAATTATAATATAATATTAAATAAATATATAATATTATAAATTAATATTTAAATAAAAAATTAATCATACAATAATTCATCATGTAACCTGCTAATAATACTGCAAGTTTTGTGGATCAATGATTCGATCCCAACCCTTAAGTGTTTAGTGAGATGGTCGGAGTTTCGAATTCCACCACCATTGTGAACTCCACCAAAAAGTGACTTAATAATCGCGCACCTCATTTGAAGGGTAAAATATTTACCCAATCTGAGGATCCATTACTAACAATTAACTCACTAATAATTAACTTACTAATTCTTTAACTATTATCCTTATTAAAAAAAAAAAAAAACTACACGACATCACATCCCGTGTATATCATTTTTTTGCAGTATTGTATTACTATCCGTTCCTGCAAATTAACACGTGATCTGCA